GAGAGAGAGAGAGAGAGAGAGAGAGAGAGAGAGAGAGAGAGCTGATGAAAGAGTGCTTTCGGCTTGTGTTCTGCGTGGTGGTCTGTGTGTGTTTGCATTGCAGCTTTCTGTTTTCGGCCCTGTTTATCTATGAAGTGAACAAGATGTCGGCAGAGCCGACTGTGGAGCCGAAGGAGTGGAAAAAGGAGTCGAAGAAGGTTCACTGAGTCTCTGAGAATTTTGGGCAAGCCATCCTGTTTTGAGGAGATTGCTACAATTTTCATTCTTCTTTTCGGACAGTTCCTCGCATGAAAACGTCCTCTTTGCGAACGAGTGGATGGTCCACACACTTAAACGCACAAATTTTGTGAGGAGTCTGAGGACAGTTTGTGCTGCAATTTAGAGGACTTGGACATCGCATGTTGGAAATTCCCTTTTTGACCCTGTCGTGAGAAAAGCTCTCGTTCATGTCCATGTCCCATGTCCCATGTCCCATGTCCCTTGTCCCATGTCCCATGTCCGTGTCCATCTTCTTTGTCTTCTTTGGCCGCTCGTTTTTTCGTCCAGCCTCGCTCATGTGGTTCAGTGTCTGTCAAAGCACAATCTCACGCACTGGTATTGTTAATTATGCCTGCCGTATAAATCGAGAAATGGTCCAAATAAATAATAAAAAAAGAAAGTATGCCTGCCGTCCTTTGTAACGAGGCCGAAGAAGCTCTGTTGATTGGACAAGTCCCGGAACTACCTTCTTCCCCCGAATACAACGTACGGTCAGTATAGCTGTATTTAATCTGAATGACAGCCCAAATACAGCTATAATGACCGTACGTTGTATTCGGGGAAAGAAGGTAGATGTGCTTCATCGAATGCAGAGCTGATAGATCATAGAGTCCCTTGGGACAAAATGGTACCTTTTGGACAAAGTGGTACCTTTGGTACTTTTGGACAAATTGGTACCTTGGACAAAAATAGTATTGGACCACTAACTCATTGGCACCTTTTTGGGACCATAAATTCATACCTTTTTGGGACCAGAAATTGGTTCCTTTTTGGGAATTGGGACAAATTGGTACCTTTTTGGGACCATAATTGGTTTCTTTTGGGACCATAAATTCATACCTTTTTGGGATCAGAAATTGGTTCCTTTTTGGGAATTGGGACAAATTGGGACCATAAATTGGTACCTTTTGGGACCATAAATTCATACCTTTTTGGGACCATAAATTGACACCACCTTTTTGGGACCAGAAATTGGTACCTTTTTGGGACCAGAGATTGGCACCGTTTTGGGACCTGGGACCAATTGGTACCTTTTTGGGACCATAAATTGCTACCTTTTGGGACCAAAAATTGCTACCTTTTTGGGACCATAAATTGTTATCTTTTTGGGACAAAAAATTGGTACCTTTTTGGGACCAAAAATTGATACCTTTTGGGACATTGGGACTCAGATACCGTTTCTGTAAGCCCAGTGGATTGCTCCGTGTGGAGGCAGATGAACTGCGTTCTTAGTGATTGGCCAATTGAATTTCTTCAGCCAAAAAAAATGTTGGTTTTGAGTTTTTTTGCCCCCGCTATGTGCTGCTGTTGCCTCTCTGTTTGTAACGTCGAGCTCTGAACGATTTTGTTCTTGCATCATGTGACATTTGCTGACGAGGGTTGGCCTTTTTAACCAACAATAACAAAGAAAAAAAACAGAAAAGAAACTTGGAAACTGAAAAGAAATGGATTTTCTTAAACCACGAGTAAGTGCTTCCTTAAGTCGTGTCCGTTAACAAGCCACCATTTTAGGAAACGTACGTGCCACTACAGGAGCGACCAGATTCATCCGACKAGAAACGTTTCTACTCTATTTCTTTTTGTGACCGATAGCTGGGCCGAGGAGTGGTGGTTCAAAGGACCTCTTCCTTTTCCAAGCTGTTGGCCATGGGATGGTACCCGCAAGTCTCGGAGGCGGGGGTGGGAAAATATCCTCCCAAAAAAAAAGAAGAAAAAAAAAAAAAGGAAAAGGATTTTGTTAATGAATCATGAAGGAAAAAAACAGTAAAGGAAAAGAATTAGGAAGATCACAAAGTGTACCGTCTCCGTCTCCTACAGACACACACTCACACAGAAAAAAATAAAATAAAAAAAATCCTCCTTCTCCCCTATTGCACTGCACATACCTGCGCTTCTTTTTTTTCTCCCAAAGAAAGTTCCCTTTTCTTTATTTACTTCTGCTGCCTACTTTGCCTTACTGCTTATGTTGGCCGTCCCGCTTGCAATAGGGTTTGATGTAGATTGTCTTCCCCCCAAGAAGGGAATGTATGATCGTCTTCTCTGAATTATGGCCATTTTTCAGTCTAGATACAGGGATAATAACTGTACGTTCTATTCGGGTGAAGACGATATTGATGAAATCATCAACGTCGGGATTCTCCGGACTGTCTGACAGTTCCAAAGGTCTGCTCTGATCAGTCGGAGTCCGCCGGAAAAGTCTGTCAACTGTCGTTTTATCCTTTTGCCGTCGTTCTTGGGGGCGGCCTAGGGCCCGAAAAACGTCCTAGGCCCCCCCAAAAAAAACCGTCACGTGCGGTTCTGACAGTAGCGCAGGGGTTCGGCACTGACCGCTATCCGGAGGTGCGGAACAGAGGAGCATAGTAAGGGCGAGATCGCACTGGCAAAGAGGATTGTAGTAGGTGTCTGAATGTGGACGTTGTTGGAGGTCAGGTGCAAAAAAATGTGGCTGATCTACGTTGCTGCATGTGTGTGTGGAACACGTCCAGATTCAGACACTTGTATTCCAATCCTCTTTGCCAGTGGGATCTGGCGTTAAGCTTGCTGTGTGATGGGATCATCATTTGTGCTGTCTTCTTCTTCTCTCCCAGACTGTCAAAATGGGCCCCGCTCCACCAGGACCACCACTCTCGACAAGCGCAAAACGAGAGTGAAGATGGATCGCCATGTTTTTTGTCTTTTGTGTATGTGGAGAGTTGTGGAGCGAGGCCCAATGTGACCATTTGAATTGCCTTTTTGCGGGAGCCTTAAAAAAAAAAAAAAAAAAAAAAGATAGGGAATCCCCCCGTCATTGGATGGAGATGAACATGTATGGGATGCTGGACCCGGTTTTCGGCAAGTGAAGCTCCGGCCACCCAATAAACCAGATCAACAAGCGGTGGGCCTGGCTAAGGGGGGGTTGTTGCTAATATCAACCCCTCTATGAAAGGCTAAGGCTAGTTTACGAGAAAAAAAAGGACCCTTCGAGAATGACCTACCTTCAAGAAAAGATGATTTGGATGGAAGTTTGCGAGTGCGATAAATCCAGGTGTGTGCGTCGTCAATCGCAGTTTTCGCATATCTCGATCGCCACTCTAGCGAAAGAACAAGTAGTTATAACAACCGCCTTCTTCACCCAAATACAACGTATGGGCATTATCGCTGTATTTAGATGGAAAGATACCCCAAATGCAGTTACAATGACCGTACGTTGTATTTGGGTGAAGAAAGTAGTTAGTTTGGACTCTGGAGGTAATAGGGAATGCTTCGTATAGCTAGTACTATTGTATCGCTATGAGCCGGCACGGTACCCTCGTTAGTCTGTCCTTTTTTTTTTTTTTTTTTTTTTTTGGTGTCCTGCAGTTTGTTTTCTTGCCAGTTTAGGGTTAAGGCCCTTTAGGGTCATGACTTGTAGGTCTCATTTGTAATTTAGGGTTTATGGCAGTGAGGCAGGCTTTGACTTCTATACATCTCTTGCGGTGTAACTTCATAGACCAAATTGATGAACTCGAAAGAGCACATCACGTACTTGAGAGAAGTACAAGTCCGTCGGCGCTCGGGTCGGTCGGGTGAGATGGCCAAAGCCTGGCTGACTGTGAGCCTACAAGTCGAACAGAGACGAAAGCCAAGGCCATAGTGATCTGCTGATGAATGCCAGTGTATGTTTTGAAGATGTATGGGTCAGGCACTTGTGACAGAGGGGGCTCTTCTAGTCCACACGGAGGCTACGCCTGTGCTACGTGAGCTTCAACCCAACCAGTACTGTGAGCAGTTTCACGCTTTGCGAGCAGAGTCGTAGCACCAGTGGAGCCTGGCTAGCGCCATCGACATGAGAGAGAGAGAGAGAGAGAGAGAGAGAGAGAGAGAGAGAGGGGTTTGCTCTGGTTCTGTTGTTAGGGGGAGTGCACATATATTGGTTCCAGCATCCTGGCAAGCGGAATGGTTGGAAGGCCCCAGGACAGCTGGAAAGTATCGAAGTCTGTGGTAGCAGCCTGTGTATTTTGTGGCTATAATCTGCCCTCCCCTCCCCCCCCMCCCMCCCCGGGCCCCACAAAAAAAAATAAAAAAAAACGAGGGGCTGCAACTGAATTGGCAGTGGTGAGATTGTAGAAGCACAACAGGAATGATATTTGGTCCATTTATGTATATACATATCTTTCACGGCGCTCCTTCCCCTCCTCTTCCTGCCCCCCCCCCCCACCCACCCAAACAAGAAAAAAGGAAAAACAGTCCGTCAAGCAATCTAAGCGAGAAGACTCTAAATGGTTTGATCGAAACAGTACTGAATTGAGGGCGTACTCACAGTAGCACCATCTTAAATGTATCTGGCCGCATTTCTGGCCCTACCTGCCTGCATTTTGGCTGCAATTCCGTCCGTCTGGCCCTACCTGCCTGCATTTTGGCTGCAACCCCGTCCGGGGGAAAAAGGTTGTGATCGGAGTTTGCTGTGAGACCGAAACAAAAGAAACATGCAACTTTCAAATGACCTGTTACGAGGTCATCCCATGGCTCAGGGCCTCGCCACACCACTCCTGGAATATGCATAATGGAGCATGCATCTTCCGGTGAAACATGGAAAGATACGACCATCTCTTGAGAGTGGTGTGGCGACGCCCTTACTCGTACTCATGTGATGTCAATGTCCATCAACAAAGCGCAGCCATGAAGATAAAGTGAACCTGTGAAAACTTCCCCACCCGTTAAGGACCATCAATACCCACCCACCGTGAAAGAACGGAAAAAAAAAAACAGAAAGAAAAGAAGGAACCTTCTGCATTTCACACCTCACAAATAAATGCTAACCCCGAGAAGACCATGGATGGATGCACTTTTCCACTACTTATTCACATGGCTTAAGCCCCCAGTACCTTTCTCAGCCATTGATGTCGAACCTAAAATCGTCCCTCTGCGCGTCGAAGAAAAAAAAGCGAACCCGCTCGCGGGACGCATTTTGGCTGGCTGGCGGCGCCAGCCATTTCGGTCCAGTAGCATATTGAAATTGACCGAACTCCGCCGCGCTTTGATCCGCCGCCCTCCGCCGCCCTCCCGCGCTACCGGGCATGTCTTGGCAAAATAGCTGGGCAAGGTACTGGTAGTTGAAGACGGGAACATGCTGCTGACGTGGCCCTTAATAATGTTCTATAAGTTATAATATAATGGGGACCCTTCATGGTGCACAATGGTATAGTGAAGGATCCCTTACGGTCTGGATCTGTGGCTTTGTGGCTCCTCCTCTTAACACACTGTGTCTCTTCGTTTGATTTTTTTTTTTTTTTTTTAACACAGTCTCATGTTATCCCCTTCCCACTTTCTTTTATTGAGCCCCTACTAGACATATACACAAACTGCGTCAAGCAGAGAGATCCCTCCACCCCCTACCAATC